TCCCTCCATTATGAGCTTCATCCAGCCGCAGGAGATGTGTTCGTCCACACCACATATTACATGCAAATACAACGTCTTTCTGGACAATGAAAACCTGACCTGAGCTGCAGGAGTGAATCCAGTCATGCTGCAGACTAGTGCATTGCTTTATCAATTACCAAGAACGCAGCAGATGACTGTTGATATTAACTCAATGTATATGTGATATGGGCCAACGCAATATTTAATAATAGCAATGGAAATGAACACATATACACTGAAAGTCAACACTTTTCACACTTACACTGCTGGTTAAAAGTCTGGAATAGGCCTAATTACAATGTTTTAATGAGTCTCTTCTGCTCACCAAGCATTTATTTGATTAAAAATACAGTAAAAATTGTGAAATATTATTATCATTTAAAATAAGTGGTTTCTATGTGAATATTTTTTTAAAGTGCAATTTATTCCAGTGATGTGCAGCTGAATTTTCAGCATCATTACGCCAGTCTTCAGTGTCACATGATCTTCAGAAATCATTCTAATATTCTGATTTTAAAGAAAAGACTATATTTATGCATTTATTTGATCAAAATAAATTCCATAACTGTTTTCAATATTGATAAAAATCAGAAATGTTTATTGAGCAGCAAATCAGCATATTAGAATGATTTCTGAAGATCATGTGACACTGAAGACTGGAGGAATGATGCTGAAAATACAGCTGCGCATCACAGAAATAAATTACAGTTTAACAGATGTTCACATAGAAAACAGTTATTTTAAATTATAATAATATTTCCACATTTTTAAAGTATTTACTGTATTTCTAATCAAATAAATGCAGCCGTCAAGAGACTTCTTTCAAAACATACATGTGTACATGTACTCAAAATTCAATTAAATATAAAAAAAAAAAAAAAAAAAAAAAACTGAAAAACTCTTTCTCAAAACATTGGTTCTTGATTCATTTTTTGATTGGACTGCAAAAATTTAATTTTACACAAAAAAATCTGATTAAATTGATTAAAAAGCAAAATAAAGAACACCTGTAGAAATGTTGACTGTAAAGCAGACACTGGTGCCACAGACTGTCAGACGTGTCGTACCTGTTTGGCTCCGGGTCAGTGTTTGCTGTTTGACGTTGCTTTGCCGTGACTGTGGCTCTTACTGCACACCTGGATGCTGTCGCCAGACTCCGGCTGTAGCTTAACGGTGGGAACGCTGAAGATTGAAGACACTGAAAAACAAGGACACATTCAGTCTGTCAGTCTTCATGAAAAACTCTTCTGTGGGAAAAGACCATGCAAAATATCACATCATCATCATGTGAAAGACAAGGAGAGAAAACAAGTCAATTATGATGATGACAAGAAAAATACAGTTGAAAATACATCTATAACTATGCAATTCAGAATTTCAGAAATATATGAAACACTTTTATAATATTTTCAAAACAAAACCCTTTTTTTTGGTATTGATTTCAAATAATTAGTACTAGATATATGTTGTCTATAGAAGCAAATTTCAAGTTCACGTTATTATTAAAAATTAATATGGGGTTTAGTATTTGTTTTATTATTAAAAAACATTTTTTGTTATAAATATATAAAAACATATATGCTGCAAATTCAGCTTTGATCACAGCAATTTTAACAGATATTCACATAGAAAACAGCTGTTTTAAATTAAAATAATATTTCCACATTTTTAGAGTATTTACTGTATTTTTAATCAAATAAATGCAGCCATAAAGAGACTTCTTTCAAAACATACATGTGTACATGTACTCAAAAAAAGTTAAATAGTTGAAAATTAATACATCTATAACTATGCAATTCAGAATTCCAGAAATATATGATGCACTTTTATAATATTTTCAAAACAAAACTCGAATAATAATGAACAATGAATGTTTTCCCCCCTTTTTTTCTGTATGGATTTCAAATGATACATTAGATTAGTACTTGATATATGTTGTCTATAGAATCAAATTTCAAGTTCACATTATTATTAAAAATTCATATGGGGTTTAGTATTTTTTTATTATTAAATTCTTTTTATTTTTATAAATATATAAAGGGATGTAGAGTATTTTTTAAGAAAAATATAAAAATAAATATATACTGTATGTGTGTGTACACAATATACAAATATAAATAATATATAAAAAATATAAAAAATAATAGAGATAAATATATTAATTAATACACTTTATATAAATATAAACACACACGAAACATTGTACTCATACTGTGTGTGTATGTATATATATTTCTATATTATATAATAGAAAATAAATATACTGAATATAAACATAACAGAAAATAATACATAAAATAAATATATAGAGAGATGTTGAGTATGTAGAAGAAAAATATATTAACTAATATTAATTAATTACAGAGTAAATGAGCTTTTCTATATGTTTGCTAAGTGGTTTTTTACCAAGAAATATGACCAACAGTAAAAATGACGCTTGACTTAACAAACAGCTCTAATAAATACATAAAACCATAATAAATAAACACATCAGCACTTGCATTAAATTTCATTTAATAAATGCCATAAATCCTGCTGCATTTGCCGTATCAATCAAAGCCTGAGCTGAAATGTTAATTACGGTGTGTCCTGCCTCTTTTGTGATAGAACTGCAAGCGTATATGAAACAACACAATTAATTTCCCTTCATTCTTCTGCTTCAAAAGCGGCTCTGCGCTGTGTGTGTCAGAGCTCCGCCTCCCTTGCCGGAGCCCCGCCCCCTCCTCCCTCCCACACGGCCTGCTGTGAGCTGATAACAGGATTAATTCAGCTGCCGCTCCTAATCTGGCAAATTAAAAACCTCATTCTCGCATTCAAACAACTCGCCTGACGCCTGTCTAACGCAGATGCCTGTTTTCTGATGTGAAGAGCGAAACGTGTCTGCGCTACAGCTGTGTTGCCTGCTAATGGAGGCCAGATCATCAATCCGTCTGGATTATAGATATGTGTCATATTAGACACGACAGAAGGCCTTGAGCTGCTCTGAAAACCAAAGCCAGCCTGAATGACCTGAATCGTCATGTTTCTGTGAGAGCTTGTTTCCACCACAGAATGAAACAATAAAAAAGGTCATTGTAACTATCTCACAATTAGGGATGGGTATCGTTTACATTTTATTGATACTGATACCGATACCGCTTATCGATACCGGTACTTATCGATACTATTTGGTGCAAAAAGATTATTGAAAATTTCAAGTTATTTTATTACTGCTGAACTTTAGCAACTGTTTTAAAGTTCTTCAGTCAAGAGAAGGGAGTTATTTTTCTCTTTGTGTTTCATTTTATTAACATTAAAGGAATAGTTCACCCAAAAATGAAAATTGTGTCATCATTTACTCACTCTCAAGTAGTTTTAAATCTGAATGAGTTTCTTTCTTCTGTTGAACACAAAAGAAGATATTTTGAAGAATGTGGGTAACCAAACAGTTGCCGGTCCCCACTGACTTTCATAGTTTTTCTTCCTACTATCAAAGTCAGTGGGGACCAGCAACTGTTTGGTTACCCACATTCTTCAAATATCTTCTTTTGTGTTCAGCACGAGAAAGAAATTAATACAGGTTTGTTACAACATTACAGTGAGTAAATAATGACAGAAATTTTAATTTTTGGGTGAACTATTCCTTTAATGACAAGCGGCAGCATGTTTAGTACTGTCGCTTTAAGAGCTGCACGCATCCGTTTCTCTCTCAACTGTTTACTTTCACTTTAGACATAACTAACTGTGTTTATATGTAAACCTTGTGTGTTTCTGACAGTATTAGTGCAATCAGACGATAACTAAGTAATCAGGTGCTGTTTGACTGGTCTTTTAGTGTATGCATACTTCGGGTGTACGCGCTCTGAATAAGCACATGTTAGAACAGCACGCGAATGAAATGTTTAACCGACAAGGCTTTAAAGCACATGCAAATAATGTACTTTTGTGATTGCGAATAAGTGCAGTGTCTCGTGAGTGTAACTCTGAATCAACATTTGATGTGAATGTGTCTCGTGAGTTGCAGTTAGAGCTGGAGCCGCGAGACATAATACAGTGCATTGGTAGATGTTGTGTTTTGTTAGTAAATGTTTCATTATATTACTAGTGTTGCCTCCTTTGTTCACTATTACACTACTGCACATATTGCATCTGACACTGGTGTCGCTTAGTTTTGTATCGTGAGTCCACACTTCTGAACGTTTCATTCTTGCCACCACTGATTGCACGCAAACACACACCGTGGATATCACACGCACGTCGAGCAAACATCGGACACATCATTCAGTGAAGGAAATGACAAGCAGCAGCTTCTAATTCGCCATTAACATTGAAGTATACAGAGATAAAACAACGCAAGTATCGATAACAGTATCGGTAGTCCGGTATCGGTCCAAAAAAATACCGGTTCTCGGTACCCATCCCTACTCACAATTCAAATTTTTTCAATTCAAAAACAGTCAGAATTGTGAGATATTAACTCTTAAAAAGTCTAAAAAAGTAAGATAGAAACATGCAATTGCACAAAAAAGCCTGAATAGTGAGATTAGTTGCTTCTGTGCGGGAAAAGAACTATAAGACAAAGTCAGAAATCAGAGAAAAAATATTCAATGCATAAACTCGTAATATGTGCGGAAAAAAAAGTCCGAATTGTGATATAAAGAGTCACAATTACCCTTTTTTAATTTATTATTTATTTTTTTAATTCCGGAAAAAAATTGCGAGAAGTAAACCCAGAATATAGAGAAAAAAAATTAGAATTGCGAGAGAAAAAGTCAAAATTGCAAGATCTAAACTCAAGACAATTTGCGAAATTTTAATTTAGATTTCTTAGGAAAAAAAATATTTGGGAAAACTTAGTCCTTAGGAAAACTTAAGAAATAATTGTAGAAATAATTGTGAAAAAAAATCATAATTGCGAGATATAAGCTCAGAATTACGAGAAAAAAAATTAATAATTGCACAATATAAACTCAGAATTCAGAGAAAAAATGTGTAAGAAATAAATGCACAATTCCAAGGGAAAAAAATTGTGGGACATAAATTTAGATTTCTTAGGAAAAAAGTCAGAATTGCAAGATTTGGAAGTAAATGCATCAAAGAATGACAAAACACAGAAGGTTTACAGTGTTTCTACAGTAAATCTCCAGTATGCACATGTATTCACGAAAATATCTGAAAACAGAAGTTTCTTTGATTTTTGAATCATTATTTGATTCAACGGCCAAACAATAATTTTACATAAAAATCAAATTAAAATTTAGAATTGAGAAAAGAATTAAATATGCAATTTGCATGGTCACATGCTGACTATGCAGCAAACATCTGCTCAAATGTTGACTACGTACTGTTTTTAATCATTAGTATGCACTAAATACTGTGTAGCATGCAGTAAATTTATATCATGTGTCTTCACACCTTCAGTATTTATCTTCAGTTTTTCATTATGCTTAATATCATCACAAACACAGATTTTTTAACTCTTTTTCATCAGATTTGTTTCACCAGTTTCTTTGTCTGTTTCTGTGCTTTTCTTTCTGCAGGACTCTTTGAAATGCTGCTCATTTGAAACTTTGTAACAATTTGAAAACTCTGATTCGACCAATCAGAATCAAGAGTTCCTCACTGCTGACAGTAACCAATTCCAGAGTATTTGGGTTTGGTAAATCAGGAAAGCGTGTCAGTGTGCTGGTCTCCAGGGAAAGTGAAGCGTGACACATGAATCTGTGTGAATTAGCATCTGTGCATCAGCATCACCACAATTAGCTCAAATTGAGCAGTGTTTGGTATTCAGCTCCAGACACACGTCTGTGAGACGGCATGTGAAACACTGAGACAGAGAGAGTAAAACACTGATGAAGGAGGGCAGGAGACGCTGACAGTGAAGGAAGGACACTGAAACTGTGTTCAGAATGGAATACTAACAATCTGTCTACTGCATACTGCACAGTACACACTGTACACTGACTACTGATTTAAACAGAATAACATGTAAAAATTCATTTAAAAACACATCTCGTACACAATGCTTATTTAAAGTGCTTTAAACAGATATAATAATGAAACGGCATACTGTGCAGCATACACTGTACATTGCATTTTAAAAAGGCCTGTATGTGAAAGTGTGCAACATGCAAGAGAAAGTTCAAATTAATACCACATTTCACACACAATGGATATTTAATGGGCTTTAAACAGTCATAATAATAAAAAGGAGAAATAAACGTAAAATAAATAAATAAATGCCGATTTTTTGTATGGAGTGAAAATAATACGAAATTGATTATTTAATGCTTTAAGCATGCATAATAATGAATAGAAGAAATAAAGGCAAAAGTCTTAAATTAAAATAAAGTACATAACATGAATGAATAACTAACTAAACAAATAAATAAATAAATACATTTGATATTAAAATGGAGTGAAAATAATATGAAATTGATATTTAATGCTGAAAACAGGCATAACAGTAGACAGGAGAAATAAAGACAAAAGTATTATTGTAAAATAGAGAACATAAAATGAACATAAATAAATAAATAAATAAATAAGTAAAGGTTTGATAAGTACATAATATAAAATAATTAAAATTAAAAATAAAGATATAAGTCTTAAAGCAAAATAATTTAAGAACATAAAATGAATGAATAATAAATAAATAACTAAATAAATAAAGCATAATTTTTAAAATGTATTGAAACAAATGAAAAAATTAAATTATGAACTGTATATAAATAAAAGGCAGACAGATGTAAAATAATTTTGAATTTTTTGTTCAAATTTTGTGGAATCATATTTTTTGGGTTTTTAAATAAACAACGAATCACAAAGGATATTGGTTGATATTACTTCCAGTTCATTAATCATACTGGAAATGGAAGGTCAAGTGTACTGCATTGCATCATGGGATACATGTATGGCATTCCATGCATGCATACTGCAAAAACAGCATCATACATGATATGAAAATATGGTAATATGTCATATGCTGTATGGTCAGTGTGGCAGTATGTGACTGTGAACACAGCAGAGGTGTGATGTGTGTTCACTGACTGTCAGGCAGCTCCCAGAGTCTCGGGGGCAGATGGCTGAAGTACACGTGATGAAGCGCCGCCTGGGCCGAGAGACGGTTCCGCACACGCACACACACACACACACACACACACACACACGCGTGCCGCTGAGAAAACTCATGTAAAGACTCCAAATGCATGTGGATAATTAGGCCTCTGCTGCATTAACACATTAAAGAAACATGAAGTTTCTCCGAGTTTCTGTCCACCAGTGGTGCTTTCAGCACTTTAACATAATGTGTGTGAAACGAGCTTGTATACGAGCGTCAGTGTGATTAGACGCTAAAATCTACAGGCTTGGGTTTGCATCTGAGCGAAGCTGAAGCTCCCATTCGTGCAGCTGCTGGTGTTTCTTCAGTTCAGATGAGGGTTAATCGAATGAGATCTGAGAATGCAGAAACTCACAAAACTTCAGCTGATTATAAGAAAAGACAAAGGTCATGCTAGTTCTACATTTTTTACTTAATTTTAATTTTAATAATATCTTCTCAAGATTATGTTTCACTTAAGATGTAATTTGATTCAACAGTTTTGATGGTTTTCTTATTCAAGACATGGTGCAATTTACAAATTATTTATTATTTAATTAAATTAAAACTTTAAATAATCAAAGATGCATTACATCGAAAAAAATGACAGTAAAGATATTTATAATGTTAGAAAAGATTTCTATTTTAAATAAATGCTGTTCTTTTATAACTTTCTATTTATCTGTGAATCCTGTGAAAAAAAGTTGTCAGCACAACTGTTCTCAACATTGATAATAATCAGAAATGTTTGTTGAGCAGCAAATCAGCATATTATACTGATTTCTGAAGATCATGTGACTCTGAAGACTGGAGTAATGATGCTTTGATCACAGCAATCAATTGCATTTTACAATATATTCACACAGAAAAAATATATTTTAAATTGTAATGATATTTCACAATTTTTTGTTCAAATAAATGCAGCCTTGGTGAGCAGAACAGTCTTATTTCGAAACAATAAAAGATTTTACCAACTCCAAACTTCTGGTAAGTAGAAACTCTTGAGAAGATGTGTTTGAGATGTAGACGTAGGTGATTTAAGAAAAAGTCATCAGTAGCACTCATTTAATCTCATTGCTATCCAGGAAAACAATAAAAAGTTGACTTTTGATCATTTCTAATAATAAAGGCTGCAGTAATTCATCAAATGATGATGAAGCGATGAAGAGCAGCTGATGAACGGCTGTGCTGATCTGTGATTTATCTTAGTTTTGGTGTGTATAAATACTTCCGCTGTGTGGGAGACGAGAGCGAGAGAAACACAGAGTTGTGCTCTTTCTTTGTCTCGCTGTGCTTCTCTTGGGATTGGGAACGTTCAGCGTTATTACGCAGCATCTATGATGATGTACCGATGTGATAGACGAGTGTGACGATTGTTTGAAAGCAGGTACATTGAACACTTCAAACACACACACACACACACACACACACACACACACACACCTGCACACACAAACAGTCACACACACACACTCATGCGCACATACACACACACACACACAGACCTGCACAAACACAAACACACACACACACGGACCTGCACAAACAAACACACACACACACACACACACACACACACACACACACACACACACACACACACACTCACTCACACACACGCACACACACACACAGGAGAAATGACTGATATAGAGAAGATCGCAGTTGATTTTTAATAACAAATGGTGAAAATCCTACAAGAAATAGTACATTACAGCATCCAAAACACGTTGCCATTCACACAAAACTGTTATAAAATAAAAAAAAGTTGGGGTCACTTACTTATTCCAGGCTTGTCTGAGTTTCTTGGGACTGTAGACAGTGAATCGATCTGCAGGTGAGACACAAATGACAGATGAAGAACTCGAACTTATGATGCTGCAGTGAGATTCAACGTGTGTATGTGCTCTCACTTGCTTAAGACTGAACGCAACAAACAGCAGAAAACGTGTGACATTCATTATATACGGAATGCTAGATTTACAGTGCTGGCCAAAATAATTAGAACACTAGTATTTGCACCAGCTAAAAATGGTTTTAAGTCAGTTATTTCTATCTTTTGCTGGAGTGTGTCAGTAGGAAATATCAGTAGAACTGTGGCAACGTCTCCAAGATGCTTCAAGAAAATACTGGTGTTCTAATAATTTTGGGCACCACTGTATAAACAGTATGTGAAACAGTACAGATCATGGGAGCTGCATCAGTGCATCACTGTACACTAGTGTTCAAAAGTTTGTGGTCGGTACGATTTAAAAAAATATATCTTTGAAAGAAGTCTCTTCTGTCCATCAAGACTGCATTTATGTGATCAAAAATACAGTAAAAATTGTGAAATATATATTCTTTCAATTTAAAATGCTGTTTTCTATGTGAATATCTGTTAAAATGTAATTTATTTCTGTGATCAAAGCTGTATTTTCAGCATCATTACTCCAGTCTTCAGTGTCACATGATCTTCAGAAATCATTCTAATATGCTACTAAAGTATTTTTTATATATGATTTAATTTCAGTTAAAGTTTATTTTATTTCAAGTAACAAAAATGTTTTACTTAACTATAATAACTCAGCATCTGGTTATTTTAATAGATGAAATGCACAAACTGCACACAGTAAACACTGCAGAAACAGTATCAGTAGTATGTTAGTATGTTATTCTGAACTCAGTCTCTTTGTTCTCGATGTCGATTCATTAGTTTGGCCTCCTGTGGACTGAATCAATACACAACGTCCGTTCGGGCATTCAGGTATGAAACGTGTCAGTACACACACACACACACACACACACACACACACACACACACAGATCACATTTCCAATCAATGCACCTTATTTAAAACCCAACAAATCCATGACCTGCAATTGAACATCTCACAACTGATCTCTTAACACTTCATCAGCAGCGAGTGTTCATTAACAGCACACTGGAACGGCATTTTTGCATGGCAGAAAACACTGATCTGCTCTCATACAGTATTATATGACATTAAACAGCCATCTCAGCTGCTCGTAATGCAAAAGTACAGTAAAAGCTGCCCTCTGCTGCTACAGCACTGAACTACACCACTGCTATTACTCACTGCTCTTTCCATGCACTAGATCATTTTGAGATTTTGGGCTATTTGCAGGGTGCGAACTACGGGGGAGCCTTAATAAGACATGGGCTCCCCTGAAAACGTGATTTGTGAAATTTTGGGGGGTCTCAAAAAATATTGACAATGTGTTATTTTGACGTGCAATTTCAGTTTTGTGTAATGTGATCATCGTGGATTATTATGTGTAAAATTGCAAAAATATCAT